CTTATTTTAGTTTTTCAACTGCTTAAAAAGTTTTAAAACCCTTCATTAATTTATTTTAATAAATAGAAAGGAGCTATATTTTTAATTATATCAGAGATAAATCAGTCAGTATGTATTTAGTATTTTTGTAGAATTATTGTCGATGTCAATTTAAGAAAATGTAAAATGTGGGAAAAAATTACCTATTACAAAAGTAATTTTTAAATTTTGGTCACATTTTGGTATCACTTAGCAATCTTTATGGTTGTTTTAGGAAGTTGCTAATGTTAGCATACATACAGACATGACATTTTGCAAAATTGTGCTTGGTGAACGCCAGACTATAAGTTAATTTTATATATTGTGGATATAAAACTCTATATTGTTTCGTTTTATTGATTTTGACTGCATTTGGTACATTGAATTGAACGGTGTTGCCAAGCAACATAACGTTTACATTAGGTTGCATGGCAACGGGCTTAAGAATTATCTAAGGAGTGAAGCTTTTGAGTGATGATTTGACGATCTTGTTCAGTTCAAGATAAACAGATTACTTTTCAGCACATCTGGGTTGTGACAGTATTAGGGAGTGAGAAAACAGCATAAGTTTTTTTCAATAATGAACCATTGTAATCGTCCAAAAAATTCAAAAACGTAGCCCTCTCTTAATTTGAGGTTTAACGTTTCATGATACGTAGAAATCGAAAATCGAATAAAAAACAATTTGTTTGCCCGCCGTACGCCGTCCGCGCATTTTCACTGAAACTACTGGACCGATTTTTTTTCTTGGGCATATAATTTAATTTTTCACAATACAATGAACGGTAAGTATGATTCCAAAAGGATATACCGTGAGAAAACCACAATTAACTATTGCTTCCTCTCTACCGAAGGTAGGGAAGCATTCTATTCGTGCGAGAGGTTAAAAAAATTTTTTTGCTAAATTTTCTCTTACGTTTTACGTTTCTGACATCAAGGATCAAATTTGGTTCGGCGTCTGTCTGTAGTCAAATCGATTAGACGGGCATATCACCTAGTACTGTTTATCCAATTTTCATGAAATTTTCAGGGATTGTGCGAGTTGGTGTCTAGATGGACCCATATACATTTTATAATATTACATCCAGCACATCTGCTTACGCAAGCGGAAACATATTTTTTCAGATATACCAATATATCATCAAAGATTTGTTCGATTTGGCTCAAAGTTGAATAAAATGTAAGTATTGGTGAAAAAATAAAGCAGTGTCAATTGTATTGAATTCTGTCTATTGCTTTCTCTTATGTTTTCCTCCCTTCGATTTGGCTCAAATTTGTAGGGAAGTTAGGGATTTGTAAACAGATAATCAAGTATGTATGAATTTTATCAAATTTCGCCCACCGCTAAAATAAAAATTCTTCCGCTTTCAGATCAGAAAATTTATTGAAGAGAAGAATAGTTGTCAGTTGTTGTTGTTGTGGTCAGTCAAAAAAGAAGGCAAAAATAAATGATAATATTTATTTTTACATATGCCGACGTTTCGACCTGAAGTTCAGGCCATCATCAGGGCTGACTGCTCTAAGGTAAAGATGCAATACCTTGCAATAAAGATGCAATAAACATTGCATCTTTACCTTAGAGCAGTCAGCCCTGATGATGGCCTGAACTTCAGGTCGAAACGTCGGCATATGCAAAAATAAATATTATCATTTATTTTTGCCTTCTTTTTTGACTGACCACCCCAACTATTCTTCTCTTCATTATCCACGACAGTCAACCATTTACCAATCAGGAAATTTATTATTTAACACGCCGATAGTTTGAAAACTGTGCGTTCGATTTGACCCAAACTTGGAGGAAATTCAGAGAATAGTATAGCAATTACCGAGTATCAATTTCATTGAATTCTAGTTGATAATTTAAATTTATATAAATAATTGTTAACAACATAATGACTGTGAAATGTGGAAGGCATTGATCATTGGAGTGGAAGTTAGGTTAACACAATATTTTTATGAGGTTATAAAATTTTAGGTTTTATTCAAAAAGTTAATTTATAATGTATTGTTTGGTCTACATCAAACGTTACTGACATACCACTTACTGCCGTTATTTAGATTTCCTGTAATTTTCTGTAAATTTAAATTAATTTTTACTCTGAGTTTCTAAAAAATAATGTCTTATTTGTGATTGTGTTTATTTCTATTGAAGTACAACCAACTCATCGTGGTCCAGATTTCCACCTTAAATATCAAAGTTGTGTGATCTTGACAAATATTTATATATTCCAGCTTAATTAGTTTTGTTCTGACTGAAAAAATAAACATTGGTCTCGTTAATTCCGAACGAATAAAAAGTTGAATTTTTTGTTCCAACCATTTTTTGAGTGAAAACATGCCTATTAAGTATATATCACTACTATTATTGCAAAAGGTCGTATGTGAAAATTTTCAACTTTTACTCTATTTGTGCTAAAGGTGATATTTTGTAGTTTGCAACTGATATAAGCAATCTGCTACGATGCAAAATAGTATAGGACAATAAAATATAAAATTATACTAATAAGTCATAAAGAAACAATTAGTTTTTATGCTCTGATTTAAAACACTCAATACGTACATTAATATTCAGTATGCACTAGATTTTTTTTTTAACCACGAATCATCAAATATGCAATTTTCAAATGCAGAACTCTTTCTTATATTAGCTTATGAATATAACCCATGAAAATTAAATCTGTATATGTTGAGGGATTACTGAATTTCCGAAAATGACTTCTCCCAGAAATTTTGTTCTCATAGGAAAAAATTTAGACCTTGTAATACAGATATTTTTTAGCCAATGAAAACAGTGATGAAGACTGACTTTACTTAGCGGACGTTTTTTAATTGTGATTTGACCCTGTTTATTGACATAAATGTGATCCCAATTTTGAAATGGCGCATATGTATTTTAAAAATGAAAATGTATTAGTAATTTCCTAATAAATATTTATGGAGAATGGTAATAGTATAATGACTTCAACATAGATTAATTTATAAAAGATTTTTATTTATTTCTATCACATCTATTATAGACATAATGAACAAGAAATTCACTCCACATATAAACCAAATAATTTACCTATCAAAGTATTTCAAAATATTAAAAGGAAATTAAAACAATTTCAAATGTTTTTATCTAAATTCAATCTTTGTATAATGTTATAAAATTTTATTTTAATTTTAACGGCTTTTAGCTTGTATTTTAGTTAATGAAAAAAACTAAGATGTGTGCTGTTGACCACACGACCGCAGTGAAAACATCAACAAGGGGAGATTAATAATACAAAATATAAATTATAAATAATAACTCATTATAAAGAGCATAAAATGCTGAACATTTTCCCCGCTTACAGTATGCAGGCCCGATTTTTAGTTTCTGAGATATTTTAATCCATATCTTCAATAAAACTCGTTATTATTTGGTTTCGACATTATTTTTTCCTTTTCGTCTTTTTTTTGTCTTTCTAACACAACGTCGCGTTAAGAAACAATTTTGAATAATAGCCCATTACAGAGAGAATGAAATGGTGAACATTTTTCTCGCAAACAATAGGCAGCTCCAATTTTTAGTTTTTGACATATTTTAATCCATATGCAAAAACACTTCAATTAATCGATTCCAGCCAACTTTAGTCGAGCGTTAACACATCAGAAATCTGACGGCTCAATCTAATTCAGTCTCTACAAAAAAGTGCAAAACGCGCCTAAAGAGGTCTTTACTTTAAAAATATTTTATTAACCAAATTTTAAGGTGATTCATCATACAGGTACGAATCATCAGGCAGGAGTCATAATATACAATTAATATAAATAATTAGTTTATGCATTTAACAATATATTTAAAACAATAGAATAGAATAAAAAATATTCCAAAATAATCCCAAAACATGTGTATACCCTAAACAAATAACTTTAAATAGTAAAATAAAAATCAAGAAGAAAAAACAATTTGGCAATCCTGATTCAGTGCCCACTAGATAGCAAAAACATCTGAAGTCATAATTTAATATTATGACATGTGTATATGACATATGACATGTGTATTACATTCTCATATCACTAACTCATGCACACATAAATTTCTCAATAAAAAAATTGATTTGTTATATTTGAAATAAAGCTTTTAGTACAAGTTAATTTCGGGAATATGATTGGACCAAGATCATTCGATCAAACTTATACATGTAGTGCCGAAAAAATTACCGAGTGTACCCGATAATATCAACAACTTTTATGTTAGATTAAGTCACATTTCATGAATTTTGTTGTCTGATTTTAAGTAATAATAAGGAATGAAACTTTTTCTTTGTCTCTTTTAATTCTCTGATATCGAAATTTCCACTTTTTAGAATTGATAATAAATAGATTTTTTATTTCTTAAACTCTATTATTTTGTTTATTAATTTCTGTTGGTACATTATTAATATTCAGTCTTTGCTTTCGACGTTTCATTCGTGTATCCCAAATTTACTCAGTTATTGTAATTTGTAGTTTTTAGGCTTAAAAATGAATAAAACAATCCCGCGTGGTTATCATTATCATTTTCTTCGATTAGAAATATAAAAATTAAATTCAATATTTGATCATCGGCACGAAATGTGACAGCGTGATGTCTTATTTAGTTCTTTGTGTTATTCATATTTGTTACTGAGAAAAACGTGAAGACGAAGAGCGAAAATTATGTCTATTTAAATCACTTCTTGTCACAATTTTGGAGATCCGTAGTCTCGTACTCTTTCGGACTATTTTCGACTTCCCATATACAAGTGTGATCGAAGCGATCTTGGGACATCCAAACGGATCACTTGTGAACTAGTACTTTTTAAATGCACTAGCCCTATTTCATGCAGGTTTTAATACTTGTTATAATTACTTTACTTTACTGAAATCTATATTGTTAACTCAATAATAAAAATTAAATAATTTTCTTTTTTAATACAGAAATTACTATTTTTAAAAGATAAAAAAATTATATTATAATTATTTATATAAACAACCTGAAAAGTCTTGGCTTTGAAAGATCATCCATCTTGAAAGTATTTTTATCACTGGAGGGACACCACTGGCATGAGGACTATCTTTATACATGGCCCCCACTTTTATCAGATAAAATTCAATCTGTTTAATCCTGTCTGTACCAAATAATTTAGAAAATGAAGGCACCGATGATATTATTCACAAAAATAAATATAGTATATGCTAGCAGAATATTATTTACAACCAAAATTTTCTTAATTTTTCTTTATTTAATTTCATCTGATATTTTGAAGAAATGTATTCTACCATAATCTCATGATTGAATATACAAATACAATAAAATATTTCAAATCATAAACTTTTATAATATAATGTTCCATAAATTTTATTTTACATCAAGTCATAATTTCATTATTTGATTGTGTTACGACAGAAATTAAGTCTTATTAACACCAAGTTATTTGATATCTGTAGAATTATATATTTAAATAATACAATAAAATTCAAAGGTTTAAAATTTCTCATATTATATGCCGTAATTGTTAATGTTAAATATTCAAAGAATAAAATAAGTATTCTCTGTTTTTGACATATAATAACTTCCAATTAAACAACAATCAATTTATTTGTTATATTTCCAAATTTTCATGTTTACGTTTCAGAAAATTTACTTCCATCTTCAGAACTACAATCCCATGTTTCTTTGTTGATTTATGGCTAATGAAGCACATTAGACTTAAGGTAATTAAAAATTTAATGTAACATCTCAATTATAACATGCATTATATTTAACTCATTTTTAGCCATGAGTCGACAAAGAAACATGGTATTGTAGTTCTGAAGATGGGAGTAAATTTCCTGAAACGTAAACATGTAAACTTGGAAATACAATAAATAAATTTATTGTTGTTAATTGGAAGTTATTATTGCCAAAAACAGAGAATAACATACAACTTCCCAGCAAAAAGAAAAAAAGGAGTATTAAGTTATTAAATATATTTTTGTAAATGTTGTAAAGCAATAAAATTTGATTTATTTTATAATTTACCACTATTAAAATTGTAAAGGTTAATAGCTTTTACTTAATTATGAGTGTACTATGCTAAAATTCTGTATTCTGAGAAAAATTCATCTCTCAAATTTTATTATAATTTGTCAGTTTATTCTAGCTTCAAATACCAGTTGGATCAGTTCATATATTTATAATCATACAACCTCAACATTGTAATTCATTCCATTTATATAAATCTAATATTAGTATTTATTTTCTTTTTAATTAAAAAAAATATAAATAATTGTATTTATAAAGAACAATGTAAAAAAAAAATAAGGATTTCTCTGAGGCTTTTGAGCTAAAGCTTACTACAAAATAAAAAAGTAATTGTTTTTTTCATTCTTACTTATTCGGTTCTTATAGTAATCTAAGATAAACAATCACAATGTGCTCTGTTTTTAAATTATAATGCATATTCAGATATTAAATGTAAGCACATGTCAAGAAAAAAAAATTATCAGTAAAAGCATCATTGCTCTTGTATATCTTTTTGTATTTATTTTATTTTATTATTCATTATTTTTTTATTCATCATTTCATAGAGGTAGTATCTTTCTTCCAGAATAATAATAACTGCTATAAAAAAACAAAATAAATAAATATATAAAAAACCTACAATTAAATCCTTAATCTGTTACTTCCTACGTATAACAATTTTAAAATGTAATATTGTGCAAGTGATTTATGGCTTTACGTGTTTTTCATGGAGGTTTTAGGATGGAAGGATCAAGACATCATATCTGTGTATTATTTATTCTCGACAATATTTAGACCCTGTATTTAGACAGACGATCTTCAGTCTCAAACTAAAACTCTTTAACTCGCTGACCTTCTAAATTTTGCCTGCATTCTAATCTTGATTAAAATGTAATATGTATAATAGCATATTAAACTTCCTGAATTAATAGTTTTGTAATAATTCAAACATCATAAAGATTGGTTGAAAATAATAGTCTTAATAATTAAAAATCGTTTATTTTCTAAAAATTCGTTTAGATTTTACAGGAACTAGCTCAATGCTAAGAATTAGTTATTAAAAAAATAATTTTTCTACTATATTTACATAAAAATCTTAAAAACTTAAATAGAATGTTCTAAAATACAATTATTTTCTATATAAATAAGCATAAAAATGTACAAATAATCTTCTTAAATTTCATATAATCAGTCTAATCTATGTAATTGCTCATCACAAGCCTTTATTAAAATCATTATACAACAATGAATTTTAAATTAATATATATAACACTAGTAAATAAATAGAAAAATACTTTCAACAATAGTAAACTCTCCTACTTCTAGAATCAATTTTCCGAACACAATTATCTTGTGATCCACATTAAAAAACAGATGTTGGTACAAATTATGCTTGATTCAACTGGATTTTTCCAACTAGGTTTCGAACCCATGCTTGAATCAAGGCCGTTCTTTGCTTTCCAATCATCAGATGTTCCTCATGATTTGGTGGTGATTGGTCATCGTATTCCATACAGCACATGTTTGTGATGAGTGAGAATGCAAAAACTGTGATACCAGAATGGGCAGCCACTAAGCTTTCAGCTACTGTGCTCATTCCTAACAGAAAAAATTAAATATATTATATTAAGTTAAAAAAACAATCTACATTATATTATATAATATAGTATTATAGATCCCATATATAGAGTAGGTTAGAAAAAACTTAATATAGAAATATGACCTTTCATCAGTGTTGCCAGATTGAGTTTATCCCCCTAGATATAGTCTTTTTTTTTATGGTTTATAAGTTTTTATAGTTGTTTTGGGGTATTTTTTTTTCAACTGCTAAATTCATCCACCATTTTTTATCAAATATTAAAAGAGTGAAAAAAAATTAGGTCTGGAAAAACAAATTGAATTTTTAAAACAATAATCATTTTACCAAATGTACAGTGCAATAATCTAATAAAAATGTGTTCCCATGGACACTGGCGGACCTACAGGGAGGACTTTGGGGCTTAAGCACCCCCAAAATGGAAAATGATTGGTTAATATTTGTTGCTGTGGGTGATCTAAGCTAAATACTTAAAACAATCACATTAAGTTTTATTTTTTTAATTATCCCAATTATTATTATTATATTATCCCTAAAAGTATTTTGTTTGTTTAATTACATTTTTTTTTTAATAGGACTTCAAGAACCATTTCATATAGGTTTCTAGTTGTTTTTGAAGTAATGATTGTTACATATATGAAAAAAAAAATTCGGGCAAAAGCCTCCCCAAAATTAAATCCTAGAACCGCTACTGCCCTTGGACAAATATCATATATTGTGACATCAAATTTTTAAATTCTTGAATTGAAATGAAATTAAAATATTCAATTAGTAAAGCGGCTAAACCTCAATGGATTTTAAGTTTGGATGTATGAAGGCCGTTTATATACCATTAGGACAATTTTCTTTAATGAAATAATTATTAAATTATTTAAATCAATAAAATGTACAAACGAAGATTTAATTAGTGCTTTGTTTAACTCATTTTCAATATTATATATACATTGATTTTTTTTTAATGGATTCTTTTTGGCACTATGTTTCCATATCGGATATAGTTTAATATTTTTGGATATATTCGGCTAGAGGTGGGTGAAAATTTCGAACTATGAATTTTTAATCCATTTCTTTATTATTATCAAATATTTGTTTCTGATTAATCTGTTTTAAGTTTGTTTTTTATTATTTATTTAATATGGTGTTTCAACTAATACAAATAATTATGTAATATTAAATATATTGAATTAACTCAATATGTTTAAAAAAAAAAAACTTTTTTTATAATTAACCCTTGTCTTATTCTGGAGGAATAATTTTGATCACAATAATATAAAAATGAAAATTAAACATTGAGAGTTAAGATGGGTAGATTTAGAGAAAATTTAGATATGTTGAGGGAGAAAATATGGCAATCCTGGCTTTAATTTTTCAAAGAGCTATAATTTAATGTTTAGCTGTAATGCAAGCATTAATAACCTAACATATTCTTTAGGTATATAATTTATAATATAACTTACCAACTGCATCACCTCCTAGGAGTTTGAGCATTCGACACTCAGCTACTGTTTCAAAATTTGGACCTCCAACCATACAGTAAACTCCTTCCTTCAGGTAAGGTCCAAGACCACATTCCTCGGCAGCCTTCTTTGCCTGTTCACGCATTTCTTTATTATAAATGTGTGTTGTAGATATGAACCGTTCACCCCACCTATGATTAAAGAAAAAATATATTAATAAAACAAATTATTTCAGAAAGGTAATTTAATACATTTTATAATTAAATCATGATATAATAAAAACTAGGCATTATTGTTCCAGAAAAAAATGGAGAATGATAACTGCCAACACACAAAAAAGTATCTTACATTAAAATGTTATCTTATTAATTGGTTGAGAGCTAATTTTACTTACTATTATATGAGCCTTTCAGTTGACAGAATGACTAAATTTTAGTGATATTTCTATTAGGAAAATTGATAATATCTGTACTAATAGTAAGTTGATTCCAGAGTAGTCGATTGCAATGTTGAAATATAGAACTATGAATAAAGGTATACATTTTCCCACTAGAAATATTACTGAAATTAATAATAAAAAATTTTGAAATTGGAGTTAATCATTTTATCAACTGAAAGGATCATATATCGTTTTTCTGTTTTTTGAATGAAAAATATTAAAGCTTAGGTATAGAAAAGGAAAAATAAAAACCTATCTACAAAAACCAACTAAAGTCATACAAGACGGAATAAGAGTGGTTTAGTCCAAGTTTGACTGTTTTAATATGCTGAGTTTTGTGTAATGCGATAAAAAAATATTTTAAAAATTTTTATCTTATAATTTTCAATAATGACTTTATAACAGTAAATTCAGTGTATATTTTACAACTGTCCCTAGAAATAAAAATAAAATAATAAATACACTTATATGGCTCACGACCTTTCTACATAGAACATTCCAGCAAAGCAATTCATTAGATTTAAACCATTGAATTTATTCATAATGGAACAATTGTTAAAATTTTGGAACTGGACTATCTCAAGTTTTGAATTATTATAACTTTAATTTCCCAGATTAATAAAATTTAAAAACCAAATTTTAAAAAGTACTTTTAAAACTAATATTTAAAAATATCCACAAATTTACAACTTTAGTTAATAATTTGTTTCTATTATATAAATTCTTAATACCTTTCATCATTAGGTCCTCTGAGAGGGCTCCCACCAGCCATACCGATGAAATTAATGTGATCCTTCAAGATCATGATATCGCCAACATTGTAGTCACTCGGGAGACCACCAGCCGCATTTGACATAACAAGATGAGTTACTCCAAGTATCTTCATTACCCTTATACTTAATGTGACCTTTAAATAAAACAAATTATTAATCATAATGTAATGATAATGTCAGAAAATATTTATACATAATTTGTCTTAGGTTAAAAAACACATATTCTTCATGAAATAAAAATAACTAGAAGAAAATAACAATACAATGTTATATAATATAGATAATTACCTGATAGTTATTGTATCCTTCATAATAATGGAACCTTCCACTGCAACAGATAACTTCCTTATCTTCTAGGCGCCCAAACACAAGTTTTCCTGCGTGGCCAGCTACTGTACTTGATGGGAAAAGAGGAATATCTGTGTACGGGAATTCTTCTTTGTCAGTTATTTCATCTGTGAGACCTCCTATAATTCATTTTAAAAAAGTATTAAACAACTGAAACACTGCCTGTAGTAATTAATTATGAAATATTATAAATTATTATCTTACCAAGTCCAGTTCCACAAATTATTCCAATTTTGGGCTTTATTGAAGTTCTTTCTTGCAACCATTTTGCTATGCCTTCTACGACCTCGTATGTGTATCTGAAAATAAAGAAACAATTTTAATATAAAAATTTATGACAAGATAAGTATTAAGTCACAGAGAAAAGAATAAGGGAAAAATAGAAGAAAAAACATTTTTGGAGTTTCAATAGATAGCTTTCCCATCAAAAATATAAAATAATTGTTTTATTAAAACATGAATTTTTAGTTTAGAGAGTGGTAAGTCTCAATTTCAAATTCATAATTTCGGGTTGATAAAATGTAACCATGTTTTGTGGAAAAAAAATTATCTCATAGTATTATTATTGTTCATGTAATTACATTTAATAGGACTTCAAGAATCACTTTAACCCCATTTCGTATTGGTTATTAGTATATATATTTTTTTGTAATTATTGTTATACATATGAAAAAAAAAACTTTCGGGCTGAAGCCTCTCCCTCCCCCCCCCCCCCAAAAAAAAATTAAATCCCGGATCCGCTAGTGAGCATAACTCAACGTAAGAATGATTATGTGAAAGTATTTTCCTTTTTTTTTTTATGTCTACGTAAAATTTTCCTGAGCCATAAATTTGATAAATATAAAAAAAGAAACAATCTATAATTACTAAGATAAGTGACATTAGTGATAACTTCTGATTAGATTATCACATAATTAAAAACGTTTTAGTATAAAAAAAAAGAAGAAAATTATACAACAGATAACATTTTCTCTCAATTTCTTTTTGTTTTAATAAATCTTCCATCATTACGTACTCACGCTGCAGAGAAGTGTAATTTTAATTACTCACTTTCGACAAGTATCTTTTTAATATTCGATGATGAAAGTGCAATTTTGAAAAGTATCATTGATAAAAAGGTTAATTTAAATTTAAAATCTTAGTCTTTTAATTGTTAATTTTTTTTTTTTTCATCTAGCCTTAATAACCTTTACCTGTTATCTTTCTTATCAATGATTTTGAGGATAACTAGCGCTCTACTTGGCACAAATTGTAAACCATTTTTAAATATATTAAAATGTCAGAACTAAACTATCCTGAAAAAATAAACTTTTCAGAAAAATATGAATTCAAAATTTTATTTACAATTAATTATATTAAATCGACTCGATTTAATCGACTCTAAAATAAAGTTGTTTATTATTCGTAACTTAAATCATATAAAACATTACAAGATAATTTTACTTAAGTTACCTAATTTGTTAGGATTTGTTGAAATAGAAGCATTATTCTTGTTATTAAAATTGTCAAACTGTTATATCTTTAGACAGATCGTAGCTCTTTCAATAGAAGAGTATTAAGTAAACAAAAAAAAAAAATTATAATAGGTCCTAACCATTGTGGTCATAGCTTTACAAAGGAAGTATGACAATAAAATAACTTTCTTTATAATTGTTGAATAGTTTCTCCAGCTTTCGCAGAATCCGTCATAACTTTCACAGAATAGAAAAAAAAAATTGTAATCTTACTGGTTAAAAAAAAAAATGATTGCAACAAATTACAAACTTTTCTTTATTTTTGACATTTTTTTAAACAAAACTGCAGGTGAATCTAAAAAAAGTTGTGAAGGGGGGAGGGTGAAACTGGGCGATAGCCCCTAATAAAAATGTTGAGGGAGCGAGAATACTGTTTCTCCTCCCCCCCAATAATTCGAGAAAAAAATGCAAGAAATAAAACAAGAAAAAAACGTAACTTTACGTAATTCAAATGCTTAAATTTTTGAAAGTTAAAATCATTTTAACGAAAACAAATGCTACGTGTATTTGAAGAAAATTAGATTATTTTCAAGTTCACTGGAAAGGACTGAAATGGAAAGTACCTAAATTAAACATTTTTTTAGTTATTAATTCCTAATCAACAACAAACTGACACTTTAAAATAATAATTACGAAAAAAAATATTGTCCTCGTTTATTGTGTTTCGATTATTTTTTTAACTTAAAATTTGTTCTTTATAATGTTTTTACGTTATTAAATTTATTGCAGGCGAACTTAGTAATATGTAGAAATGCTTATGTAATTTAATTTGCCGATAGTAATTATTTCAAAGATATGATTCCAAGGTTATTATGTTGAGCTATTATATCATTAAATGGCATTTAACGATTGTTTCGATAATTAAGCACTTAGGCAAGATAATTTTCTCCTTGACATTATTTTTGCTTTACTAAGAAATAAAATTGAAAAAAAAAAATTAAAGCTGTGAAGGAACATTGGACATATAAAATAGGCCAGTAGCAATTATCTTGAATCTTGCATATGCTTTAGTACGTCTAAATAAAAAAAAATATGTGGGCAAACGTTTATGCCAAATTTAGATATCTTTAATGGTTGAAATACATTCAATAAATATAACAATATATATATATATATATAAATATATATAAAATGGTTGGGATGCGCTCATGGAAAATACCGTGGTATGCAAGCTTGAGTGAACCTGTTTTTAACTACCTCCGAAGGGCAAGTAACAGTTCTCAATCCGGTCATCTTTTTCTATTACATAACTCTTGAATATTAAATTAATGTTTTGTTTATTATTGAAATTAGTTTCAGCTTTTTTGTAACTGTTATTTCATTGAGAATTTTCGTTACAATTGTGAAGGAGATTCTTATAGTCTTATTATAGAAGTTTAAATTTAGTTGTTGGATTTTTTTTTATCCTATATATTATTTTAATTATTTATTTACATTCCACCCTACCTAGCCTGATGGGCCCTACGGGCGATTATTTTAATTATGCCAATTCTTCATCAAATCTAATGATTGGCCACTCATTTTGAAGATATTCCGCTCCTTCACATACGAAAAATAGTCCCATCCCCCCACCAAATTTCTGGGGAAAAAAGTTATGAAGGAAAGGAAACTTTATCTGCGAATTACTCAAAAAATATGCATTTTTTTTCTTGATTGCACCTATGATAATTAGAAAGATTACTAAATTAGCTACAAAACAAACAAAAAAAAATCGGACAATTATTAACAAAGATACAGTCCATTAATTTTGGTATACTTAATATTGTCTTCCTCTTTAAAGATATTGCATTTAGGAGTAGAATAGTTTACTACACTTTTTTTCCTGGCTGATATATTAACTTTATTATTTCTTAAAGGTATTTATTTGTTCTTACATTCAATTTTTTTTAATAATTTAGTAAATCTCATGATCGGGGCATTATTTTGTCTTTATTACTTTTATTATCTTTCCAGTCAGCGTTTAAAAATAGGTCCTAGCAAAGCAATTTGTACAAATATTTTGGTCTATTATGTTAAATGGAATATGGTATTCGACGAAGAAAAAAATATTAATTCCTTCCTCACATATTACATATGAACTACTTATTTCCATATTGTTTTTCTATTTCTTCACTAAACAAAATTTTTTGCGAATTATTTTCACGGGTAGTATGTATTATTCTTTTGTCAATAGTATTCCTTTCCCCGTTTTATTTTTCTTGTTTAATCTCTGGTCTTTTTTTCATCTTATCCCAACCCATTCGTCATCTTACCCAGTGACTGACGGAAATGACAATTTTTGGGAAAACCCATGTTTGATCCCTTTGAAGACGAAAAAGGCAATTGAAAAAAAAACTCATGGTATTAGATAAGATATTGAAGAATTTATTATAAAAAATTCAGTTTTTAAATCCGTTCACAGTGGTCAGGAAAAATTCCAAATGCTTAACTTCATCATCCTACTCATTTCCCCATACTTAATTAAAATATTTACTTATTAACATTAAATGTAAATTTTTCCATATTATTAATTGATGTTCAATTAACAGAAATATTTATGCAGGAAAGTGGATTAGCAAAGACTTCCATAAACTTCCTTGTTGCATAAATTCCTAAGCAGTTATTTTTACCGATACGCAGTTGATTACAAGGTTAAATCGATACAAATATATCGGTTAAATGCATATGACGTCATAAATATTAAATTGCAAAATAGAAAGTATGTCTGGAGGTCATACTGTGTTTACAAACATTCTTATCAGATTTTAAAATTCAGTAATCTTTAAATTGTGATTTCTTATCAATATCATTTATTTATCTATTTAGGGCTTAGGCTAGTATAACCTGGTAAAGATAAGTATAACCTCTCATTATATCGCGTTTTTTGATAATTGATTTTTTTTAACATCGTTTTATGGAAAGGTGGTAGATTTTATTATTATTTATGATTTTATCAATATTTTATTTCAGTGACATTTCATGTTTAATCCATTTCATAAAATTAGATTAAATGTTTTAAAGGATTATTTTGAACACTCCCTGGACACGATATTTATATCTTTAAGTTAGTTTCTACTCGCCAGATCGAGCTATTAAATAGAAGATACGTTTCGAGACAACACGAATTATTTTTCAAAAAACTTGTATGAATTTCTTTTTATTTTTTATTAACCTCTACATTGCCATTTTTGTTTTAGAGGTACAACCAAACCTAATTTAACCAGAGTGAGAAGATAAAGATTCATTCTTTCCGCCACGAAATAAATTTAAAACTGTCTTGGCTGGATTCGAAGAGGCTCCGCTAGACTCGAGAACATTAAAGCGGTCAACACCACAACTGCTCGGCCATCACGAGAAAATAGGCATATAAATGTAAATATCTTAATATCAATAAAGCATAATATATAATAGTATAAGAAAAGAATAATATCAGTTTAATTTTTGTTTTTTTTCCATTCGAGTTTTGAGATGACCCATGACGTATAAAGTCTTAAGATCGCTCGGATATTTTTCACTTACGAATATAAATTGTATTTATTGGTATTTTACAATTTTCACGGAAAATGTTTATTTCTTGACAATAGACTTATTATTTTCTCGATTTGAATTTGAAAAATGCGAAATACAAATCTGCTATCTTCCTTATTTGAAATTCCAAACAACCTGATTTGATTTACATCAGCCTAGAATTGATTCATACATACAAGAACCGAATTCAAGGTAACGATACTCTTTCTATGCCTTCTATATTAGATATTTGTACTCTTTCATATTCAAACAATACGAATAATATGAAGAACAACAAATATCAATCGAAATCTTGTATTTTCCTCCCTTAAAGATAAAGATATAGTCTTCTTAATTTCTTTAAATAAGCTTAGTAATAAATACTAGAAACTAATTATTAAAATTTTGAACAGCTCTAAAAAGTACACGCTTGGTTACCGAAATATTCGTATTGAAAAAGAATATAACAAGCCTTTTTTAAATACATAAAAATCAAATGTATAAATATATAAAGCATAAGTCTATGTGGATGGTATAGTAGAAAACGACTACTTACCAATAACCTATTATTTTTAACTGTTATTTTCCATATATAAGTTATTTTTTAGGTAACCTATATGATTGCTAACACTGATTAGTAAGAAACCCTTTAATTTTATTTAATTTTACCAGCTGTTTATTTTGATCTTCAAACTCTAATTTTCTTTAAGATTTTATTCATCGCTATTATTATTTTGCTTTTTTTAATTATTAATACTTATAGGCAGATTTATTTGTTACAAAGGAGTAAATATATATTTTCCAATTAAATATTTACTCATTAGATTAATATGAAAATTATATATAATGTTTTAATTAAAGATCAAATCTCAGTAAAAATACACGTAAAGGCATTTCAATTTAAAATTGTTGAAAACGATTTTTTTTAGTAATTGTATAGATTACTTTATATCTGCTGTCGATGTGCCTATCGTCATCCGATTTGATTATGATATCATTTTTGACGTACAGGTCTCAATTTCACGTTATCTGCAATATCTTTATAAGTGACGGAAAAACATCTGTTTTATAACTATTCGTAAGCTTTACAATAATATATATATATATAATTATACTTTCTTATATATAAATAAGGAGGAGCTTTGTCTGAGAAAATATTTAAAAAAAGAAAGGATGTATTACGGCTCTTCGATAAATTGTTAAAGGATTGCAATGTAAGGAGTTCAAGGATAAAACCAGGGATCTTAAGGACTTGAAAAGAAAGGAAAACGAGGAGATAGTTAATTGCACTTATCTTAGCACTAACATGAGAATGTGCATTACATAAAGGCATAATAAAGATATACAATATAAAATTAAATTATACTTTTTTAAAACATGTCTTCAAAGTATTACAAATAATTTATTATTTATGAAGATAAAATCATTACTTTAGTGGACAGAATAAAATCACGTAGATTTGATTAAATAATTAGTACACCGGAGAACCTTAAAAATAAATCGTTTCAATAATAAACGAAAAAATAATGAGATTTTGTCTTGGAATCCAATCTGCTTCATTAAAAGTCAGGAATTTCTTCGGGGCCTCTAGGTAGTGAGAGGGTCAAAAACAAGAGGTTCAGAACCTTCCGAATGCAGGTTCGATTCCTCTTATGTAATATATAATAAATATTACATTAAAATAATGCTTGTAATACAGACTTCTACTCTCTTTAAGATAATATTATGTGATCTTTAAAAAAATGATATTTAATTTAATAATAATTCGTTATTTAGATCTTAATATATTTTTAGACTTTTAAGTTTTAAGTATAGAAATTAATTCATTATAGACTTCTTTTTATCAAGTTATTAACATCTGATCGGAACTCTTAAACAGCTTCCATCTCATCGTAACTTACAAATATTTTATTTACGAAAATTCTCGGAATTGGAGCGATTTCGAAGAAAAAAGGATTAACGAAGTTTTAGGCGGATGTTAATAATTTGATTAAAATGTTTCTGCACCACGGACTATTATTAGTTATTGTTTTTAGCCATGGCGGGGGATGCCAAAACATTACCCAGGAAAATATATTGTTCATTTCTTCTTAAAATTGTTCAAATAAAGTAAAGTTATAGTTCATTTTTTTACTTCGTTTTTTGGTTTTAAAATTCTGATCAATTAAAACCTCACAAAAATTAACTTTCCTTCAAAAATTTATAAACTCGTAAAACATGTTATGGTCTAGCGTCTTGCGACTCCTTATATCAAATACACACTTATATCCAATAAATTTAGATATTGCAATGATTGTACACGATCACAAATTTAATTTTCAATTCAATTTAATTTAAAGTTTACTTTGAAAGTTTCACTTTATTACTAATTAGTATGAAAAATCTTTCTAAATAAAATATTTGCATGTTTTGTTTATAATCTAGGTTGATGCCTCCCATAGGACAACCTTATAATTCTGTATATAATGGAAATTAAGTCTTATTATATAAGTATATAAATATTATGTAATATAATAGTGTGAAAGAAAACCTAATTTTGAAGGAAATGATAAATTTTGTTTTAAATTTATTTTCTTAGCCCCCAAAGATATGTTATTAATTTGATAAAATAATATTCTAATGATAAATTTATTTTTTATGATTTACGTCTTTGTATAATATTTAACTAGTATAAATAACTAGTTGAATTAATCTAAAAATTCATTAATCCAACCTATAGGATTGAATTTTTAATAAAATGGTAGTTGTTGTTTATTTATAAAAAAAATATTTTATAATATTAATCAATTTATAAATTCAAAACAGAGAACTAATAATGATAGCAAACATAAATATACGAACAACATAAATAGTTTAAAAGAATTCTTACAAATGATAGATTTAAAAATTACATAAAAAGACAAGGCAATTAAGCTTAAGAAAAAAAAATTAAATGTCATAAAATGTCAAAAATATATGAATAAATAAAGTTGTTGTTTAGTTGAATAAATTTATGTTGCATATATATACAACTTTATATATATACATCAACTTTTGACTCTTGATTAATAAATGGTCAACTCACTTGTTCTTCTGAGGTCTAGTGAAATCGGCGACATTTCCAATGTTCTTGAGGGGTTGAGGACCCGACTTCTCGGATAGGCTGTTCTGTCGAGGGAAATGCCTCTCTGCCGATCCGTTGTATCTCAAGACGGTCTGGGTGGACATTTCGAACAAGGTTATTTCCAGGAGTACAGCTAGTTCTGCTGTGAGATCTGGTGAGACCGGTGCTCTTATAGCCGTTTCCCCCTCCACTCTTCTTCTTTCCTCATCTCGATGTACGATATTTTTTATATTATTTTTTTTCTTATTGTCCGGTGTCGTAAGGGCTGTTTGTCGGTTGTTTTCGATGTTTTTTCTAACCGGTCAGTGTCATGGGTCGAAGGATTTTTTTGAAAAATATAACATTTCTCTGCTCTTATGTGGTGATTTAGAAAATTGCATCATTGAAACACTTTAATAATAAAAGTTCAAACAGATAATTTATGAACACTTTATGATATGTACATTAAGTTTTTATCAATTAAATTTATGTATTTATTTTTATTTTATTCATGGAGTTTTTTATTTATTTTTTCGTGAAGCTTTTTTATCATATAATAATTTTTTTTAAATATTCAGTAAAAAAAGAGGAAAACTAAACAAAATTATATTTGAGTGGTCCTTAAAGACCTGTTGAAAAACCAATTACTAAATACAATTTTTTATTCAATTATGATAAATAATGCTTTCAAGGATTTTTTAAAAATATTATTTCTTCAAGCATGATAACATTAAGTAGTTGTATATGCCTTACAATCAGGATTTCCACTTCGGCGAAAAAATCCCTTTTTAGGGATATTCCTATGTTAGGAGAGGAACAAAGATATAAAATTTTAACAATCAAATCCAATTATTAGCACAGTTTAATTTTTTTTTTAATAATATAAGTGACATAAAACGTGAAGTTACACATAACATTACGTATTATTTTGTATATATTTGGGCGGAAGGGGTTTTTAATTTTTTTTTTAGGAGTATATTGTATATAGGTGAGTATGTGTTCTTTTTATTAATTTATTTTTAGGTTATTTTATTCTTTTTTTTTGTATATATATTATTTTTCTGTATAATTTATTTTATTTATTGTACATAAAGTGTGAACTCTATTATAAATGTCCTAGAGACAGATTGTAATATTTTTCAATAAATAAGGAAAAAAAAAAAATTTAGGGAGAAAAAGGGAGAATCTGTCCGACCAAATGGGAACTTTAAAAAAAAAACAATATGGTGGAAACGCTGGTTATAATATAATATGAGAGAACATGTTGTGATTGTTGATTGTGATGGTATTTTGCTCAAATCACTCACAGAAATAAACATGTACCTATTATTGGTAGTAAATTTATTTGGGGGAAGGGGAGAGGACGGGACCAATGCATGCATATATTTTGGTTTTGAACAGTTAGTTTTATTTATGTAAATATATTACTGCATGCAATCGAACATGTATTCTTCACATATTCGGGATTAACGCTTAAACGACCAAGCCATTCTCTGGTGAAACTTTCTTCGTGGACCAAATTGTTTTTATTTTTCTCAAAAGTTTTAATATACTATTAAAAATATTATGCATTTTTTTTTTAGTTTTAAAAATAATTTAATCGCGATAATTTAAAATAAACGGAACGGGCGTTTATGCCTGCCATTGTCCACTAGTGGATCCAGGATTTAATTTTGAAGGGGGGAGGGTTCAGTCCGAAAGCTTTTTTTTTCATAAAAATGACGATAATCACTTTATAAAAAAAGAAAGAAACTAACTACCTATATGAAATGGCGTTTAAGTCCTTTTAAATGTAATTACACGAACAATAATACTTTAAGAGATAATTTTTTAATATATTTTTCTATAAAGCATGGTTATATTTTACCATTTTGGGGGAGCTTCAGCCCGAAAGCTCCTCCCTCCTCCCCCCCCCACGTAGGTCCGTCCGTTCCATAAAGATATTACAGTTTTTTGTTTTTACCCTTGGTAGTTATTTTTTACGTGGATATATTAATATTTCTTTTATTTTTGGAAATTTAAATAAAAACAAGCTTATTTGTGGATCTTAACAGCGGGTGTATATGTCCGCTGTGGTCGGTAAAATCTAAACTTGTTAAATTATACTTAATTAAATACATTTTTTTTTCTTTTTATAACACTATTTACAGGAAAAATAATGCTTTTAGGATTTTTTTTTTTTTTTTTTTACATCTCACAGTATGAACATTATAATTTTAAAAATAGAATACTTTGTAATTGCTTGGCTCAGGTGACTCATAGAAACCAAAATAGACGAATAAGCAAAAAGGAACTTCAGCTCGAAATCTTCCCGCTTGAATCCATTGCCATCAAGATTTTCTGATGTTGACACTCACCGAAATACGGGACGAAATATTTTTTTCGGGATCAGTAAACTGTAATGTGAGGCACCTGACTGTTATTCCAAGTTTAAATATTCTTAGTCGTCAATATTAAAAGCAATCAACCAATATTTTTAAGTAGCTTTTTTTTCTGTTGGCATTACAGACCCTGTAGAACTTTGCCGCCTTAACAAGCCTGCTCCATCTCTGCCTGTCTTGGGCTATTTCTTTCCATTTATCTGCACGAAGCTCTGTTGCATCTTCGTTGATTCTATCTATCCATCTGCTTTTTGGCCTTACACGTGGTCTTTTGCCTTCTATTGAGGCATACATTGTCGGATAGAGGCTTCCAGATGGATTTCTCCTAGATACATACCTCGCCCATCTTAACCTCTTCACCTTCACATCTTTAAATATATGATTGAATAGTTTCTGTAAGCAGTTCTTTATTTGTCCTTCTCCTCAATTTGTTGCTGAACTCAAATCGCTCCGATTATCGATTATTCGTTTATTTTCGATTATTCGAGGATTATTCTATCGAATGAGAACTGGCTTTACCATAGTTCGAATATCCTTAATTTGAGATTTCTAGATATTATTCGGAATTCCAATTGAAATGGTGTAAAAACACGAGTCTTTACGAAATAATTTGAACCAATGCAGTTAAAAATCGATCCAGCCTTTCGCTCAAAAATCATTATGTATCAACAAGCGTACAATCATAACCCTCCTTGAAGCATTAAAAAATTGTTTAATAAGTTTAGTTATATGGAGGTAAAATTAATATAAATTTATTTTAAGAAATTGAAAAAAAAAACATATCGTATTTTTGTACCAAAAAATATTTTTGGGACAGTACCATAGTCATAAAACCTCAACATAAAATATTTTAATAACATATAATCATCATTATTGCGTATCGATATGGATTGGCCTTCAAAGGATTATTTTACGTTTACCACAAAAGAAAGGAAAAATGTATTAATTTCTTGGAAAAACAAAAAGATTACTTCAATATTCACAACAATAATAATAATAACCTAAATGTTTTGTTGTTCGGTATATTCCCTAAGGTATAAATTGATACACAAATAAACATATTTTTTTAAATCAAAATGTTACTACACCCAGCATAAATAACGGTAAACGCTTTACAATTTAATAATTTTGAAGAAATAACGATTATTGATATATTGAAGGTTATATCATAGATTTATTTATTTCATATTTTTATTAATTTATTGTATTTTTAAAATATGTTTTATCCGTTGTCTCATTAGTTAGCTATCCAGAATATGAGAGTTACGAAATCAAGGCACACTTGTTATGTGAAAACAGAAGTGGAAAAAAACCAGAAGAAATTCTGGAACTTCTATATGATAACGTTTTACAATCACCAGAAAATATAACAATAAAATCACAGAAGTAAAAAAAAAATCTAGTGTGCTAGATTGTGATACACAACTTTTACTGACAAATTAATTATATAAATAAATTTCTTTATAAACAAGTCTTGTTAATATTTATTTATTTTAACATATTATCTTGACTAAAATTATTTTTTTTTTTTTACTGACACCTGTCAGACAACCAGCGAGTGTGATATCGAGGTGTAGAAGATTGGAATAGGCGTGAGGAAGAGGAGTGCCCAGCGGCGATCTTCCTATCGTGATTTTAATATTTGTAGTTACTGGAGGAAATCTCTCATCCAATTTCTTTTGAACCTTCTATGGGTTCTATCGGGCATGCTAGTTGTGGCTATGCCTCGAATCAGTGAGTTGGTATGTCCATATAAGTTATTGTGAAATCTTTTATAGTATGTTCATATGTGGTCGTTAACTGCTGGCATCAGAAGGTCTTTATGTAAATTATAATTAAATTAACGACGAAATTATTGAACTAAAGTTTTTTATATAGTGACTCATTTGCCCATTGGTCAGAATAAATTAATCAAAAGTTTTCCAAGATACTAAATTTATTGAATGTTTCGAGAAAAATTTCGTCCCTCTCTTCAGCAATATATTATTCTCCAAAGAAATTGGGTAAGTAACAAAATTCAATACAATCACTCATTCTTATAATCCGAGGTACAGAACCCTTTTTGTCAAATTATTAGCATCCGGTTGAAATTTCGTAAATAGCAACTTACAAATATTTTATTTACGGAAATTCTCGGAATCGGGGCGTTTTCAATCTGGAGGTCGGCAAACTTTGTCTATTTAATTAGGTACTAAAACCTCGTAAATACATATTTGATTTTCTCTTGCATCGTGAGATAATTTGATCAGTAAACCCATAAGGTTTCATCCATAACCGTTTGGCCCATATAACCTCGTTATTTTGGGGGTGTAGGTCATGCCAAACGGCTCAATATTTTTTAAGGCCACCTTTTTTTCAATTTCGTGCTCAAGTAATATGTAAGTGGATAGTTACAAATATGTATGTGGATAGTTATTTTTATTAGTTTAGTTTCTTTTTGTTTAGTTTAGTTTATATAAATTGACTTTTAGTATTATTGTTTTTCTGTATTATTTATTGTACATAGAGTGTGAATTTGCATAAAAAATGCTCACAGAACACTATTATAAATGTCCTTGATTGTGACATATTACAATATCTCTCAATAAACATGTTTAAAAAAAAATAATGAAAGTCTTGAGGCAAAATTTCGAAAATTTTGTATAAAATATGGTCGAAATAGTGATTTGTGCTCATCAACTGCGAAGAGAGTGGTTGAGGAAGTCAAGCTGATTAGATCAATTGGTGATATTGAACACTCACAGAAACATTCAGTGATATTGACCAATATTCTAAAAATAATGGAAGTATTGCGAACACTTGTCTTGCTTCGATATTGACACTTTATAGGCTTGTTTTTGGGCGAACAGTGTTTTTTAACATCACCAAAAAATCCAGTCTTCTTGACTTGAT